CCCCCCCAGCACAGGGGCTGCTCGCCCCCAGCCACTGTCAGGCTCCAACCCCAACAACAAGAAAAAGGATCAGGCCCCTCACTGTAACGTGACAAAAAATTGAAACAGTTTAAGCCTCAGGGTTTTATTTTATACCCCACTGTTTCAATTTAGGGGGCAAAGAATAAAACCTTGGGGATTAAACCCCCGTCATGTGTACAAGTGCCCCCAGTTACTATAATCCAGTCTTTGGTCTGCACCAATTGTCAATGAGATCTCAGGATTTTATGCTGCTAGATACCCCACTGAAGCCAGTACAACCCAGGGTACTACATTAGCATAGTTTCTCCATGCTAGTGATGGACCCTAGGAAGTGACCTTAGTTGCTGAAGTGCCAAGGCTTGAGTCCAGCACAAATATTTTTCCCCATAGAACCAATCTGAAGCTCTACCCTTCGCTGGCTCTGGGATCTTCTGTCCAGGAAAATGGGAGAAAGTGGCTCATCAGTCAGCACTTCATAGGATCGCACACAGCTTCCACCCAATGGGGATTTCTTCTGAATCTGAGTTCGGAATTCAGTCACTGATGCTTCCACCTCCAACCAGACTCTGCGGTTGCCTTTCACTGCTTCCTGCATTTGCTTATGTGCCCGATCATTGGCAATGACTTGGGAGAGTGGAATCCCAAAGGCCAGAGGACAGCAGTCTGGGAAAATACAGCACAAATGGAAAAGTATGTTAGTATAAGTGAAAAACAGAGTGACAGAAGAAAGACAGAAGGAGTGGTCCTGGGAATGGCATTCCTTTCCGTCAGGATTTGTGCACTCCACCATGCAGTAGGACTTCAGGATACACCAACCAAGGATTCAGGTAATGTGAAGCTACTGACTCATTCCCACATGGAGCCTTCATTCTCAGAGGTCAGTGGCTGGTCACATAAGAGCTGCCAGCTGAGATGGGCACTTCCTACCTAGCTGGGGCCTCCCTACCGACACTTGTCTCTGTAGGTGGGTTGGTATCTGTCCTAAAAGACTAAGAGCTCAGCTCCTACACATCAAGCTGTGGGGTGGGAAGCCCTCTTATACCCCGCAGCTAACCCAAAGCCTTCTGCTGCAGTGTTGCTGAGGGGCACCTTTAAAAGCAGAGGGTCTCAGATTCAACACCCTAGCAATAGAGAAGCAATTCTCCCTTTCAGACTGATTGACTCAGACAGATATCAACATGTTACTTATAGTTGGAATCACATTTTTAAGGTTTCCTTGAACCCATTTTTTCTCCAGATAAACTTGGAGTACCACCAGTAGCCAAATTATCAAGATAGCAAGATGTAACAGGGTACAGGCTGAGGCCTATTGAAAATCTGAAATCTGTAGTGGGTACTGAGTATCTGATCCCTGAATATCTTTAAATGCAGACTGGATCATTTTCTTGATTATAAACTTTAGCCAAATGGTGGTTACAGGACTCAGTTAAGTTATCACTGGGTGCAGTTCTCTGGCTTGTGTTATTTAGCAGGTCAGACTAGATGATCGAAGACTGTAAACAGACATCTCATTTGAAGCAATCTTGACTGATCTGAGTCAAAACCTGAACTGGTGGGGAAGGGGAAGTGGAAGGGGAGCAGCTCAATCCCAGAAGGCAAGAAGGAGTGGGCCCCCAGGCTGGGTGGGCAGGGACTGACGGGCCCAATGCAGGCTGCCAGGAGCTGGCAGGGTCCCAATCTGGGCCACCTCCAGTGCCCCAGAGAGCAGGCAAGCCAGGCAGGCACAGAGCCAGCTTGGCTTTAGCCATGCATCTGTTCATCAGCCCTCTAAGGGCAGGTTAAAGCAGTGCATATTACAGGGTGTTAGCCCTTAACATGCAACTGCTCAAAGTTTGTGCTAATTTTAAAACCAATTACCATTCCTTAAAGTTAGCAAGTGTTAATTGCAAGGTATAACTACACCCTTGCAGACATATATAGCATTGTCCTGGGGAGAAAGTATTAGCACTTTTTATCTTGTATACTTCACAGGTACTTAAAGTTGGACAATAGACAGATACATCTGTAGGATCCTGGAACAAAATGATTTTCCCCAGGAGAAATGTGACATCAATTTGTACCTTAAAAGTCTCTTCTGGCCTTAAGCCCTATTCAGGAAAATCTAACTGATGTGGCCCCAGGTACTGTGGCCCTAGGTCCTTACCCATAGTTGCTAGTAAAACACCCTATTTGTTAGCATTTGTTGATACAGTAAAAGCCACGTTAACCGGCACTTCATTAACCAGCATGCTCTATTAACTGGCATGTCGGTTGACGCCGGTTGACGTGGCAAAAGGGAAACCGGAAGTGAGACTTCCGGTTTTGTCAAATCCCACCGACCGGGGGAAAGCAGCCTCCATGGGGTAAAGCAGCCTGCGCAAAGCCCCCCCTCCCTTTCCCCCAGCACACTGACACCAGGGGAGGGGCGGGAGGGGTGGCACGGTTAATCTGAGATGTGGACGCACCGGACGTGGTGGGAGGGGCATCTTTGCCTGACCAGGTAAAGATGCCTCTCAGATAACCGGCACATTTGGTTATCCAGCACCCCCCATTTCCCATGGGTGCCAGATAATGGAGCTTTTTGTATAACATTCAGTGATGACCAGGGGATTTTCAGCGAAGATTGTTTTTCAGAAAAGCTTTATTGCTGAACTCTTCAAGCAGCCTTGGCTATTCTCCCAGAAGCACCGACTCATCTCCAGGGATCTTGGTTTTCTCTGATTAAAAATTGCAAATTCTCTGATTTAAAAAAAAACAACCCATCAAATTCTCTGATTAAAATCTCAAAATCCACATTTTCCCGCAACTAAAATGAAACCACTATATATAGAGACAGAGAGCTATAAAATGAAACCACTATATATATAGCTATCTGTTTAACACAATGTTTTATTGATATATTTACAATTTTAAAGCAATTTGGAAGCCTAACAGTGCCTCAAATTGTTATAATAAAATAACTTCTGAATACCTATATATTTTGGTATTTGATTTTGGGTTTTTTATCATGGAAAATCAGAGCTCCCCTACCCTCTTCGTTCACCAGGACATGGGTCCAGCTGGATGTCCCTCCCACTGCTTTGTGGCACTGAGCACTTGATATGCTGGTGCCCTGCCCCTAAGTCCCAAGCCACAGGCCCCCCAGCCTTGACAGTGTCCTTCACTCCCAATGCACAGTCCCCCATCCCTCCCCCCCACCCCACCCTGCCAGTACCCCTAACTCCCAACCCACAACCATCCATCCCTACCAGTGGCCTGCACTCCCAACACACAGCCCCTTGACCCTGCTGGTGCTCCTTACTCCCAACCCACAGTCCTCCACCCCCTCTAACCCTCACTCCTAACCTGCAACACCCCTACCCTGTTGGTGCTCCTCACGCCTGATCTGCAGCCCCCCACCCCTCTCAGCCCTGCTGGTTCTGACCCACAGCCCCCTGCCCCTGCAGTCCTGTCAGAGGGGGCCCCCAACTGTCCCCACCCTGCCCGGCTCCACACAGGCTACAGGATGGTGGTCTGTGGCGACACAGCAGGGACAGCCTCCAGCATGAGCTGCATGCAGCACAATTCATGCAGAAGCACAGGCAGTGGCAGCTGGGGCACCACATGGCACAGTGCTGCTCCACTGCAACCCCAGTGGCTGGACATCTTCTCCCCACCCCTCCCGACCTACACATCCAGCTACTCACAACCCTGCCACCCCCCCACACACACACACACATACATGCTCCACAGAGCCCCTGAGACAGTCCCCAAGCCCTGGCCCTCCGGATTTCCACCCCACCCCCCATAGATTTACCTGTATCCAGCTGCTGGGGCTGCTCCAACCACCGTGCCTAGCTGTATGCCAGCCATGTATGTGTGTGCATGCACATTTGCATGGTGCCCCCTGCTTCCTGTCTCCCTCCTCCCATTCCTCCTAGCTCGAAGCAGCCCTTTGCAGGCTGGAGGACTGCCAACCTACAAGAAACCCACCATTTCCTGCAGTTTTCTCCTTTAAAGAAGAAAATACATGGTTTTTTCCTTTAAATGAGACAATCCATGTTTTTTTCATGTTTTTCTGCAGTAAATGGAAAACCCAGACCCTTGCTCATCTCCTTGGATCTCTGGTGCCATGCTGCTCTCCAAGTAGTCCAGCTCACTACTTCCTGGCCATCTTACCCTGGCCTCTGGTCCCGAAGTGCCTTAAAATGTTCTAACCACAAAGCCATAGCTTAGATATTCCAGAAATATTTCTTCATCCCTCCTCCTGAATCTGTCCCTCTGGGCAGCCCTATGAGAATGAAAAGTAGAGCCTAGGGGAGGGAGATAGAAAGGGGGAGGTTGGCTCAATGAAGTGGATGATTCCTTGACAGAACGAGGTTCTGAATTCGGGCTCCTGCCCTTAACAGCTTTTCTGCACCTGCAGTTATTATTTATCATTGGATATAGTGGAAAACACTAATAGCATAGTTTCCACTCCACTGAGGCAGAAACCACATCTGTGGAGAAGAGTTTAGAACCAGGACACAAGGGTGAGAAAACCTCCTTCCTCCTCCTCTTCCTTGTGTACTTCATGTCAGTACTTTGTTCACCTGGGTGATCCTATTCTGCCATAGATGGAAAGAGAATCCAAACTGTGCATAAATGCCACAAATTGCACTCCTGTGGCAACAGGAGTCCTCTACATGTTTTTTCTAGGAGTCTTATACCCAAATTGGGGAGGGACTCTAACTTTTGGCCAGCTCCAGCCTCCCTCTTATCCTGCTTCCTAAGCTCCTCATAGCCCCTTGGCTATCAGCTTCCTTGCTTCCGCTGTGACTTCCAATCTATTCCAGCCATGAGGGCCCAAGAGGTCTAGCTGTTAACAGCAAGTGAGAAGCATTTAAAAGTTACCCTCAAGGTGCCTTTCAAACATGCCCACTTCACTGCTGCCTATTATCAAAACACAAGGGAAATGCCCCAAAGGCATTTCCCAAATGCCCCAAACCTTAGTTACAGTAAGACAATTCCAGGTCATTCATTTGGTATGATCCTTTTCAGAACGGGAGCCCTTTTAGAATGGGAGCATATCATTCCCAAAACATACATGTTGCAAAAGCAGGAAATACAGAATGATACTTCCCAGAGAATAGATCCATACAGCCTTAACAATGCCCTGGGAAATCTGCCCTAAGAGAAGTCATACCTTTTTGTTTGATATAATTGCCTGCCATTCCCACAGGGCAGAGTTAAGGTTGCATGCCCTTATTGTATAACAAGAATCTTGTTGGCCTCAGAATCATAGAAAAGTAGCTCTACAAGGGGCATCAGGAGGTCCTCCGGTTCTGTGAGGGACCACCTTTTGGGCATATGTGCCACACATTACCCTCTACACCCTTCCCAAATTCCACTCCAATCCCTACCCTCTGACTGATCTGCTGCTTTGCTTTCTGATCCCTGAGCTGTTTTCCCTGCCCAATCTCCTGCTCTGATTTTTTGTAGTATCTGCCTTTATGCTAGCTGTCCCCAATCTGCCACATACAGAGGTTGCCCATAGCACTTGTGTCATGCATGCCACAGGTTGACAATCTGTAGCAGAATGCACCCTAGGGCCAGCCATATCATCCCCTAGTGGTTGCCATAATCCTGCCCAGCTCACCTGCTCCAGCTTCTTAGCATCTCTCCTGCTTCCTTTCCTGCCACGCCTTGGTGTTAAAGATAATGAG